TTCCCTCGCTGATCCCTCGCTGATCTGCGAGGGATCAGCGAGGGAATTTTTCCCTTGCAGATCAGCGAGGGATCAGTGAGGGAATGTGTTTTTTGTCATTTCCCTCGCTGATCCCTCGCTGATAGTCGTCGCTGATACCTGGTTTTCTAGTAGTGATTTAGTCACGTTTTCATGTTCCAATTGACCGTTAACTCAGTTAAATCAAGGGTCATTCTAGTTCTTTTCCTGATAAAATAGTAAGATCGAGAAACGAATTAAGGATTTCAAAGAAGAGAAAAGAGTGTGTGAAAAGAGTTCTCACCAACAAGAGATATAGAGAACAAGAAAAGTCGATATACATTCATTTTCGGATAAGAGGAACAATGTTGAGAAATGAGAAGGGTGAGACATTCGGGGTAGGTTCGGAAAAGTCATTGTTGAATATGTAAACCAAGGTTGCGTAAAAATTCGAACATTTTTTAATTCAAGACAAAAACACGCATTATTTGATAGCTGAGAATAAATGTTAGTAAGCTCGTTATCTGAAATAAAACATGCGTAAGTTTGACACGTGCTATTATTAATTTGTAGATAAAAAAATCGCTAACTGCAAAGTACTTTTTACTTGAAATATGTAATTATTTTGTACCTTTTCGAAACATATTTGGCTTTGTATATGATACCGTAAACATTGATTGCCCGACAAAGTACTGATAAGTGGGACATTGTACTACTAAAACAACTAGTCATCCTTTTATTTCGACTTTGAGGAAAAATACTAAATTACCCTTAAAATTCCATTTTTTTTTATTAACCTAGATAACCAACCCGCTATGTGAGCCGACTAATCCCAAGGCAACCACCTGCTTTGCAGATAGCTTGGAGTCACCGCGTTTGAACCTCCGTGGCCACAAAGGGATTTTTATTTCTCCTTGGATTTGAACATGAGACCTCCTTGTACTTTTGACCTTTAGAGCCAAGCTCAAACCAATCAGGCACAACCCTTGTGGTTAGGTGTGGGCTTGTTGTGATGGTGAAGAAAGTAAGAGGAAAACCACGGGAGGGATATGAATAGAGATAGGGGAGGCCGGTGAAGACGATGATGAAGACATCGGGGAATGTGTTTTTATCAGTGTATTATATATATTTAAAAATATGTAGTATCTTAATAAATAAACAGGTTTTTCATTTAAAAAAAGAAAAAAAATTAGATATACATGATAAAAGACCAAAATGTCGGTTACTTAACAGTTTTTTTAACGGTGTTAGAGGGAGGGACCGAATCTTAGTGATTTTGCAAACCATGATAATGAAACTATAATTTTTAAAATGCAAGGACGAAAACTAATGAATTCCAAAAGAACGGGACAAAAAATGTAGTTTATTTTATTATTAGACTAAACTATGATTTTCGTCCCTATGGTTTGTTGTTTATAATGATTTCCGTCCTTGGTATATAAAAAAAAGATTTTGTCCTTATAATTTACAATTCCTTTCTTTTTTTATCTATCTGACTAACTCTGTTAAAAACAAATCTGTGCATAAAGGGTTTTTTCGTCATTGTACAAAATTTCTAAACTTTTTGATTAATCTTTTATTTTGTCTTTTTTCATTCACCCATGTTTTCTCTAATCAATGAACCCCTACCTGATTTCACCTCTAAAACTAATATCAAAATCAACTAACATCAACCTCAAACTTCAAGATACCGTAAATCAAATTCAACCTAACAGAACCCCAAAATCGATTCCTTTACTGACCGATTAAAACCCATCTGAAGATCGAAGGTCTTGAGGCTGTAGGGAAGATCTTCCTCCCCCTACACACGGTCGAGATCGAATGACACAACCCAAATCGGAGGGCTCTACAATAGGTTAGAAGAACGAATCCAATATCCCATATAAATAACACAACAAAATAGATAGGTTTAACTTGGTTTGACCAGTTTGAACGTTCCAACAGTTTTTTTAAACACCTTTACACGGGACAAAAGTCATAGTTTACTCTTATTATTATCATGTTTTGAGTAAATTATGTTTTTCGTCCTTGTGTTTTATGAGAAAGTGCGGATTTCGTCCTTATGATTTTTCAATTGTGGTTTTCATTCTATAGTTTGCAACTCATTGATATTTTAGTCATTAACACCTTAGCTTTAAATATAAGGGACTAAAATAGCAATAAATTATAGATGACATGAATTAAAATAACAATAAATTTTAAATTGTAAGAACGAAAACAACAATAAATTATAAATCTCGAAGAAATGGAAAATTCATGATAAATTTTCAACAAATAAGAAGGATTAAAACAGTATTGTAATCGAGACAAACGGTCAAAAGAGTATAGCAGCCGTCACAACCTCACAGGAGACGATTACGAAGTCCATTTCAGAATAATCGACGACTCCTTTCTTTTCTTCACAATCTCAACTAATTTCTCGAAATCTTCCCTCCCATCAATCTATATCTCATCCGAGGTAAACTCAATTTTCGCTCTAATTTCAGTAATTTTTATTGTGTTTATCTATGTTTAAACCCTAGTTTTTTTGGTGTATTATCACATGTGTTCGTGATTCCAAGTTTAAGTTTGTAAATCGAGATCTATCACTTCAGATCTGCTTCATAAATGCGTTTATTTTGCTTTGTTGATGGAAATTTTTCTTGATTTTTGTTCTGGTTTCGTTTTTTGCAACGAATGATTACTCGCTTGCTGCTAAATAATTTTGTTAGATCAATGACGTCTGGAGTTATCTAAAGGTATGATCCTGGATTCAATTCTTACTGAATCATGAGGAAGTTGTTGAAGAGATCTAAATGTGATTACGACATTTGAAATCCTGCCCTTGAAATGCAAAGATAATACTAGAGTATAACGTGTTTCTTGATAAATAGAATGAAGATCATTTGAATGCGCTTCTGATATGCTTAGAGTATACAAGTTAGCCATCGTTTTTGATATAGCTCTAACCTCAAACGAAGCCCTAGAAAAGAGGGAAAAATTAGCCACAACGAGTGGGGAGTCTGATACGTGCTTTTGTAACCCCAATCTTTAAGCTACATTACCATCTTATGTGGTATTTCTTGTAAAGTTGTGGATGCCTTGGGTTCGGGAGACCTTCCATTCATGTCAACAAGTGTTATTCTGTTGATTCAGGTTGTATTTTGTATCTTTAGGGTTGTGGGGCTAAACTTTCATGGAGGGTACTGGAGGCGCTAATGGTGCCTCAGCAGCGACTTTGGATCAATGGAGGCAGTTTTCAAGGCTTTTCCAGTTTTACCTAGATAAAACTACTCCACATGCGCTTTATAGATGGATTGGGACAGCAATCTTAGCATTTCTCTTTATGCTGCGTGTTTATTACATTCAAGGGTTCTACATTATTACTTATGGTCTCGGAATCTACATACTCAATTTGTTGATTGGGTTTTTGTCACCGCTGGTTGACCCTGAAGTGGACCCGACTGATGGTCCCATGCTACCTACAAAAGGCTCAGATGAGTTCAAGCCCTTCATTCGACGCCTACCCGAATTTAAGTTCTGGTACTTGTTTCATGCTTTCACATAATTGTTAGCATTTTTTTCCCTTGTGCTTTTTGGTGCTGATCTGCTTGATTGATTGTGTTTTCTAGCCGTTCTTCAGTGACTCTATATGATCTTATAGATCAATATGAGTTATCAATTACAATTTATGGTAACTAGATGGTTATGGTTCAGTTTCAGAAGCATTACATTGACTATTTCTCAAGTTCCTGGAAGTCCTGGAAATTTTATGTAGTGGCTGAAAAATGATATACTTGCCTGCCATTGCAATGTAATTATTGAATAAAATGAAATATTTTATTGTTTTAACAACCGGTTATGTTGTCAAGCGAGCACCGCAAACATGAGTTTTTTGTTGCCAAATTGAATCTGCAGCAGCCAGTCCATCATATAACTTGTAACTCCCTGGAAAATAAATATGATGAACGTATTTATGCAGCATTGTATTTCACCAAGCTCCTTTTGCTACAATTTTGTTCATTTTGCTTATTGAGTAGTTCTTCGATCATCTCATTTCACGAAGCCAATAAATTTAGGACTTGGTTAGAGAATTTGACATGTATGTTGGCATTTTGCCTTATTCTGCTCCCACTTATCATGGTCACTTTGGCATTCGCTAGTATTATCTGCCAAAAGCCCAGTCATTATGCTTTTGCCTTTGGCAAGAAGGTTTCTCGGCTCATTTGGGAGTGAAACCCAGGGGTTCTTTGCTTTTACCATGAGACTAACAACCTTTTCATCCTATGTTAAGTTTCAAAGATGCAATACCTTCTTTATCACCGAGCTGTCATTTAGGGTGTGTTTGGTGTGCTGGACAAGGTGGGACAGGACAGAACAGAACACATTTGTCCTACGTTTGGTGTGGCTTAATATGGAACTAAGTAGAACTAACTAGGACAAGGGTGGGACACGCGAGTTCTCTCTTAAACCCTGGAACTAAGTGGAACACAGACTTTTTTACCAAACTACCCCTTCCCCATAGCCTCCATCACTTCCTTTCTTCCCCACATCCTTTTCCCGTATCCTCCATCGCTTCCTCCACAGCTTTCCATCGCTTTCTCCATCGCTTTCTTCAACCTCTTCGCTCCTGCTCCTGCACCTGCCAAAGACGCCGCCCCTCACCACCATATTCCGCCCCAACAACCCCTCGATTTCCCCTCGATTTCCCCAACAACCCCTTGGCCCTGTTCAGACATCTTCAATCTCTTCGCTCCTGCTCCTGCACCTGCCAAAGACGCCGCCCCTCACCACCATATTCCGCCCCAACAACCCCTCGATTTCCCCAACAATCCCTCGATGTCCCCTTGATATTTCACAGAAAGCGAGTGGTTTTGGCGGAGCATCGGCTTAGTGGAGTAGGACCAGTGTTACCAGAATGCATTTCGTAGTGAAAAAACACTAAACAGCTCACTGGGGGGTAAATTGGTCATTTTAATCAGTTATGTCCTGTCATGTCTTACCAAATGCTGAACAGCTGTTCTGTCATGTCCTGTCCCGTCTTGTCCTGTCCAGTCCTGTCTGCGCACCAAACGCACCCTTAAGAGCTCTAGGTCTTACTGGTGATCCTGACTCTCTTCCTCACAAGGATGAAGCTTACCTTTCTCTCTAATTGAACCTGCAATGGAACTTTGAGAGTTATCCCTTTTGTTTGCACTTGCTCTCCCCCTCTCGAGTGAGATCTAATGGGGTCAACTTGGTTTAGTTTTTGCTTTCCCCCCAAAAAGAGAATCTGTTTCCCCTCTGTTGAGTTCCTAATCTCATATTATTTTGATGGTTGAGCTTTCAAGGTATGCTGTCACAAAGGCTTTCGTCATATCGTTTCTGATGACCTTCTTCTCCATGTTCGATGTCCCTGTGTTTTGGCCAATACTACTTTGTTACTGGTTTGTGCTGTTCACCCTGACTATGAAGCGCCAAATCATGCATATGATCAAATACAAATATGTCCCATTCAGCATCGGAAAACAGGTTAGTATAGAATCCCAGTTTATTCCATTTTCCTTGAGTAGTTATAATAAAAGTTACTATATTAAACCACAAGGGTGGTGCCTGATTGGTTTGAGCTTCACTCCAAAGGTCAAAAGTACCAGGAGGTCCTAGGTTCAAATCCAAGGAGAAACAAAAATCCCCTTGTGGCCACGGAGGTTCAAATCTGCAAAGCAAGTGGTCGTCCTGGGATTAGTCGGCTCGTATAGTGGGTTGGATATCCAAGTTAATCAAAAAAAAAAGTTACTATATTAACCCTTTGGGGTAGCTCAACCAGTAAGACTTGGAGTTTGCTCCCTATGGTCACTTGTTCATCGATCCCTCAGGGTCGCTAGAGGTTTCCGTGGTTGCTTTCCAAGCTGGCCTGGATTCCCACAGTATAAAATAAAGAATTAAGTTTACTGTATTTTAACTTGTGTTCAATTTTGTGGTAATAACAGAAATACAGTGGTAAGAAATCATCTTCAGCGGGGAGCAGCAATGGCGGGTCTCGAGCAGACTGATGATGGTATTATCAAAAAATGGAGTCGTTAAATTTGAACATTTAATGCCATATTGGATGTAAAACAGATGGAGTGACGACGTTTTTAGTTGTGTCGATTTGATGGTGTTTCGAAAATTTCTTGTCTAGTAACAAATTCTTTTACCGCTAATATTAACTCCCGATACATGTTTGATGAGATTGTACGTCTTTAATTTATGTAATTTATTTATATCATCACTATAAACATATGATTGATAAATCTGTATGTATATATTTGAGTACTACGAAGTAATTTTTTTTTTTTTTGTTCATCTTTGTTGGTAATTGATTAGATAGAGTGATGTTTTAGGGGGTGTTTGGCAATTGCTAAATGGTTTGGTGCATAATGATTAAGTGGCCAGAATGATTAAGAGGCTCTTATGATATAGTGCAAAATGAAATATAATTGTTTGGTAATTGTGTATAATGAAATTAGGGCTTTTAATGGTTAAGGGAGATCCATGATACAAAATCATTCAGAGGGTTTTAGAACCATTAAAAGGTAGACTTTTTTTTTTGCCAAACAAGATTCACCTCTTAACGATTCAGAGGTTGCCTCTTAATAAAACTATTAAGAGGTAAACAACCCCTTAACTATTAGTTGTTCTTAATTTCCATGTCTATTAATGTCTACTTACGTTTGTCCTTGCTACTTCTTTTAACATGTTATTTGTTTGCACGTTGTTTTCTGCTATATTTCTCACATGCCGCTTCCTCTCTTGTTATCTTTTAAATTTTGATATGTATATAAGAGGTTTTTATTAAAAAAAACCTCTCTACCCCTTTCTAGATCCTACTTTTGCGTGCGATGTAACGAGTTGGTTTGGTTTGGTTTGGTTTACTCTACCTTCACTCGAATGTGAACAAGCGCTTTACGTGGAAAACCCAAATTGAATTGGAAGGAAAATGACAACTGACGACCCACGAACAAATTCATTGTAGTAAGAAAGAACACAATGAACCCCTGATTGTTCATTTTTTTTATTAACCTGGATATTCAATCCGCTATGCGAACCGATTAATCTCAGAACGACCACCTACTTTGCCGGTAGCCCGGAATCACCGCATTTGAACCTCCGTGGCCATAAGAAGATTTATTCCTCCTTGAATTTGAACATGAAACCTCCAGACACTTTTGACTTTTGTAGTCAAGCTCAAACCAATCAGGCACCACCCTTGTGGACTTGTGGTCGTGATTGTTCATTTGTCGATCAAGGATTATAGAGAGAAGGGATGAAGAAAAATTGAACAGAAGACTACGGTTTAGATAGCTAGCAATAATCCTACTTATATAATTGAAGAACCCTAAGTAGATGTAGGAATTAATCACCTAAAACTAGAAAACTAAATTCCAGACAAAATAGCCTCTGGCATGTAGCTCAGTTGACAAAATGATAAGATAACTTTATCCAAATACAAGACATATCATGGGTTCGATCCCCCCGGCTAGCCTCAGCCTCTGAGTGATCTCAAAAATGTTCGCTTACATTGATGCCCTTGACTATGAATTCACTGTAGAGCCGGTGGGGATTATCCGATAATCAACATTTTTGTCCAAATCCAGAAAGAAAAGGATTTTAACTGCTTAATATATATATATATATATATATATATATATATATATATTTATTTATTTATTTTTTATTTTTTTCCAAGACAAATAAGAAACAAATCATTTAAATGGTGACTTTTGGGTCACAGTTCCAACCGAAAAGATCGGTAAATGCTCGACCCACAAAAAAGGTAGCTTTAAAGGCTCGGTTTAGGCTCTTTTTCATAGGATGTAATTATGAGTCTTTTCAGAACCATACGAAGGTTTCACTGATTGTTATCTTAATAGTCGGGTTTATAACACACCAATAATATTTGAATGTTAGGGGCCCATTTACCAAATATTTATCCGGGTAAGTGCTCACCAAGTCATGTTACCTCACCGGATGAATATGGTAAGGACCAAAAATCTTACTCGGTAAGAGCGAGACAAGGACCATGAATCTTACCCGGTAAGTGAGGCCGACGACTCTTACCACAATAAGCGCTTACCGGGTAAATTGTTGCATACGATACCGTTTTAGTGGACTAAAATCTTACCTGATACGTAAATAATAATGTTAAATTTTACCGGTAAGCACTTACCGGGTAAATGTTTGGTAAACGGCCCCTTAATTGATTATTTCGTAGGATTAAGTTTACAGGACCTGACAATAAAATGTCGTATCTAAAAGTGTTGTACTTAGCTTACACTATGTATCTGGTCGTCTTAAAAAGTTCTTTTTTTTTTAAATTAAAATAAAATGTCATATTAACTATTTTACAATACCATAAAAGTGTTTTATAAACGTATCTTTTTACATGACACTTATTTTTACAAGACTTTTTTTTTTCAAAATAGTATCCTATAAAATGACTAATATGACACTTTATTTTAAAAAAGTTCAAAAACTTCTTTAGACATGCATAAACATCCTATAACCTTATTGCAACTCTTTAAAATATGACGTCTTTTAGTTTGGTCCTACAAAATCAGTCTATCGAATAGACAATTTTGACATCCTATAAACCCAACTTTTTATAATGTGTTAGAATTAGTCAAGGTGCACACAAACTGAACTGAGTACCCACTGTTAAAGCAGGTTTCAAGAAGCTAGGGGCATATATGTTGCTGTTGAAGTGGGGCTAAGATCAAAAGGTGCAATATGGTCAATCACCATCAAGAAACAAAGGAAATCTTGATCATATCTTCCAGTCCTTTTAACAATTGGCTTGAAAACGATCAAAATATTTATGCATTTTTGGAACAGATATTTAGCCCAAAACCACAAAAATCTAACCATATATGCCAATATAACAAAGTTGTAAAATATGTTTAAATGTCTTAATAAATTGCTTTGTAGAACTTAAAGTTTATGAGACCAAACAATTGTGTAACGTATTTATCGCTCTATATGTCTTAGTCGAAGATGTCTATTTTGGTCCCATAGGAGTTACTTTCAGGCTGTCACTCCCTCGCTCGCTCTCTCGCTGCATTTAGGTTCAATCTATCAAAATATCGACATTTCGCATTCAAACTTTGCGTTACGTTTATGTTCTTGCAAGTTGCGATTTGTTAGCGGCCATTAATGAACTTTCTTCGATAAACTCGATCTGTATCATAGAGTTTACAACAGAATGTGGAAATGTTCAAATTCTAGTTATTGTTCCTAGAATGCTTACATATGTTGATATATATGCATATATAGATAATATATATATATATATATACATGAGCCATGACTAATGAATCAAGATTGGTAACATTTAGATTTAATCCATCCAAAAAGAATTCCTCATATTATGAATCTTCTTGTTTACATCTCCATCTTCAGATTGCTTCCTTCATATGAACCTGAAAACCATTCAAGAAATCTTGGTGAATTGGGGTTCAATGGCAGACAGCCATTCAGCCATTGTTATGCATCTCTTTAGAGCTTATCCCAACAAGCAACTTTCTTGGTCCAAAATCAATGAAGTTTGTGGGTCTCTTTTTTTTCTTTACCTGTAAATTTCTGGGTTTGAAATGGTATTGTTGATGTATCATGTTGAAGTTCCATTCTGTATAGATTCTGTAGATCAGCATCCCATGTAACAGTTGGCTGAATCTGCTGCAAGAAAGAAAGGTTGAATCTTTAGATACTGTTAGGAAATTGTATATAATTCAGAGATTTGAGAGAAGAAATTACATTGAAACACGACGAAACGACAAATGTTTCAGGGATCGAAACTGGAGAACCAATGCTTCTTAACACCATGTCAATCGGGTTCGTTCCCATTTCTAGTAACGAGTTTAACTGCAGATATGTGGAATTAGCCATCTCCGATGAATACCCGACTGCTGAAACTTCGCCCGACACAAACATCTGATGATAATATGAACAAAAGTTAGGGACTGATCAAATACATATAGTGAGAATATGCGGGACTCTAGCACGCCACTCCAACAGAGGCTAGACGGCCACAAACTGTCCCATTAGGACAACTCGTCCAAATCTATCCGATATGGAACTCTAAAACGCCCCATCCAATGGAGGAGGCTAGACTTCTGATACCATGTGAGAATATGTAGAACTTATTATACTGTGTTTCAAAATAGCCCGTTTAAGCAGAAATGGTCCAAATCCAGCAAACGGGGGTGGTTCAATCTAGCTGTACAGATTCAGTGAATCTTGTAAATTACCTCTGTTGTGATTAAGCTATCGATATCGAAGTCTAATCTGGGATGAACGGTAGCAAGCTTCATGGACAAGAACTGTTCCAATCCAAATCACAAAAATGATGAGTTACTAAAAATAGAAAGTTTGAAATTAATTGAAAAGAAAGTGATGGCTAATGATCGAATTTGATTATACCTCCACCTGTCTTTGGAGGGATTGAACGTAATTGATGATTTCGTCAAGCATTCCAGCTTTTCCAGTGATCTTGTTGCATCCAGGAACTAAATCTTGAAGATACTTCATTCTCTCACTGATCTTCTCTCTTCTCACCTACATCAGAATCAAACAGTATCAGTACCAGTATCGGTATCAGTTGTTTGCAATTTTTTAAGAGGTGCTGAAATCTGAAGTCCTGCTGTAGATCAAGAAAATGTGGTCGACAAAACAAAGAACGTACTCGTTCGGCCAAGCTATGGCTATCGGTGGCTTGGCCTCGACGAGCTCGAACATGAATATACTCTTGTTTTTTAGCTTCTGTTAGCTTTGGTTTTTCTTTTGATGAAGTTTCTGTAGAATCTCCATCAGAACACCCTTTTAACTCCTTCTCTTTGACGCCATTTTCTTCAGAAACCACCTGAATTTGATCACCAGATGAGAATTTCTCTATTTTTTGGGAAAGAAAGAATTCAAGAAATGAATAAAGATTCAACCTTTAGTTTCTGATTCTCATGGGCTTTTCTTTTCTTGGGTGATAATGAGGCTGAGCTTGAGTTTTTCTGCAAGATTGTCTGATCCGCCATTAATGGTGGACGGAAGCTTGTCATTCTTGAATGTGTGTTTTGATTCATATGATCAAACCCAGACCCATAACCCAACTGATCACCATAACTGAAATCTGGCCACCCGTTTTCAATACCCGGGTCGGGTTTAATGGCAAAGTTTCCGATCAAACCCGAAGGTTGCATAGCAGATAACATGTTAGGAACCTGATGATCATTCCCATTAAAAAGCATCTGTTGTTGTTGTTGCCACTTCATTCTTGCTTGTTGTCTTTCGAACACACTCACCTCGCCACCGCCGCCGCCGGTGGTATTGCCGGGGATGTTGTTGTGACACTCCGGCGAAGCTCCGTTCATTCTGAAATCAAGATTTTCTTTTTAAAAGTGCGTTTAACGTCGTTTCAGAACCAAAATTGCGATTTGATTCTAGTTTTAACGAAATGAGAGGTTTAATTTTGTAGGTGAAACGTGTGAAGAATTTGGAAGGATAAGGAGTGAAAGGGGGGAAGTGGGGTATATAAAATAAAGGGGAGAAAAGGCCGCCGGAGGGACAGACAGAGACTGCCGGAGACTGACACAGGTGACCGGAATAAATAGGAGGATAGAGGAGAGAGAGAGGGTATGAAAATGTAACCACAGCGAGAGCCATGGGCTGTGGGGCCTCACTGACATGACTGCCACGTGGTATGTTCCTGCAAATTGCTAATTTCTGTAATTTAATTCAAGAAAATGGTAATAAATACCAAAATAATTTCGTTCTCAAATATAATTATTTTACGTAATTATGATCAAAAGACTTCTAACGCTTTTTTTCATAATAGTTTTTTCATTTATCACTTAATTTATTGTTCTCAACGGGTGTAATAAAAGTATCTGGAGGTCACATGTTCAAATCCAATTAGGAATAAAAATTCCCTTGTGACTACGGAGGTTTAAATACGGTGACTCCAGGTTATCTGCAAAGCAAGTGGTCGTCCTGAGATTAGTCGGCTCGCATAGCGAGTTGGATATCCAGGTTAATTAAAAAAACCATCATTGATTTGGGTTCGGCAAGTTCTTTTATGGTGATAACCGTGAAAGCTTGATCAATGGTTTATCGACTTCCTTTACATACTTAACATTACGCTTCCCAGATGATTCTTTCATCTACTTCATTGTCCTTTTTTTGCTGGTTTTCGCAGTTAAATTCACATGATAATACAGATGCAGATACATACATGGGTTTGTTTCGTCTAATAGTCGGCCCATTTGGGTTCATGACAGATAGAAGACACCATGCCATTGCGGTTTCAGTGTTAACTCAGAATTTGGTGGTTTTGGTTAATTTGTCTGCCTCCGATTGCAAGTTGCAGGTCTCAATTTAGAAAGGTTGATCCGACATCAATAATAGAAAGACATGCATGATTTTGTAGAATAATACTATTATCATTTATGGATTACAGTAAATACTATTGCAATCGATAAATAATATTCCCAGCTTTTCAAGAAAAGGTGGCAAAGGAGTGCAAAACAGTTGTTTGACTATATCCATTTTATTAGATTCATATATATCTAACACTGCAAAAACCCAAATTCCTTGGACTTGTATACACTATTTTTACATTTTTTTTAATACTTTAATAAGAAATCAGATATGCATGTAGTAGGAACGCAGGTCCACCTCTGATCCCTACCAGAAAGCATGTCGGATGTTACTTGTTCACGTAATGACCCCTGATGTCCATGAGGAGGCTTATTCTATAATATATCTCAAGATCTTATCGATATCATTAAATCTTTGAAATCACAATTTCAAGATTATATAATACGATTACAGTCATTTTTGGAACATATAGTTATACTGTACTTCTAGCACGTAAAGACTTGTTGGGTAAATCGACAGTAATATGTCAATATCGTGCATTGTATGAATAACGAATCTAATATAAATATTACTATTTATAGAAAATGCGGCAAAACCACCAAGATGTACGACCTATTAAATTAACCAATAAATGGTTTTTATGTGTTGAGAATGATTGCATTTTATGGAACCCGACTATTAGAAGCTCCACTGCGTAAAACGTATTTATCTGTAATTTAAAATCAAAAACATATCACAAACATCGTAAATATATATCATAAACATTAAAACCGAAACAAAGTACGTTGAATTATATTACTGTAATTTACATAAAATTAAAATATGATTGTTTATGTCTGTTGTTAATTTTTTTTTCACGACTCAATAGATAATTTGATAAGCCAATGATTTTTTCCGTGTTTCAGAATACGGTTAACCAATATGTTAACTAATCGGTTACGGAAAATTGGATCGGATTTTGCAGTTTTTTCTTCTGCAGTACCTCGACGTGACATGAGCGTGAAATTCATAGTAGTAAAAGATAAATCGAAGGAATGTTATAAAATTTAAGCAATTCGATTAATTTATAATAGAAAAATAAAAGGATAATATTAACGTGACAGCTTTCTAAAACGAATTAAAAATCTTTAATTTTTATAATGCATAAAAAAAATTTGTCATAACTTTCATATAAGGGGCTAAGGCTGTTTAATGGTTGCTGAATAGTTTGGTGTAAAATGATTAAGTGGTCAAATAAGATTCCCATAGAATCTCTCGATTATTTATTTTTCTGATATATTTTAAAAAACAATATTAAAAAATTTAAAATGTCAATTATTTTATATTATATAAAGGAATCTCATCAAATTATTAAGGATATAACTGATCTTACAACAATTTTTAAAGTGGTCTCAAAAGAAACTTTTTTGATCTTTTTTCAATTACAAGGGTGTTATTTGATTGGTTTAAGATTGGGCTTCGAAGGTCAAAAATGTTTGGAGGTCTCAGGTTCGAATTCAAAGAGGAATAAAAATCCCTTTGTGGCCATAGAGGTTCAAATGCGGTGTGCGGGTGGTCGCCATAGGATTAGTCGGCTCACATAGCTGGTTGGATATCTAGGTTAATAAAAAAAAACTTTTGATAGGAGCCGTTTACTCAATTGCTTATCCCGTAAACGCTTATCGATAGGAGTCAACATTATGATTTATTTTGATGCATAAAATTTTAATATATCAAAACATATCGAATACAACAATTTACTGGATAAGCGTTTACCTGGGTAAGAGTCGTCATCCTCGCTTACTGGGTAAAACTCTCCATTTTTCTGATCGCTCTTACCCAGTAGGATTCATGGTCTTTCTCATGTTCATCCGATGAGGAAATTTATCCGGTAAGCACTTACCAAGTAAGTGTTTAGTAAACGGCCCCTAAGTCTCTAAATACATGCTTACCTTTTTCATGCTTGTTACGTGACGGATCCACGATTTTAATTGAAGGGATGAATTTTTACGATGGACTAAAAGTCTGCAGAGTCATTTTATATGTTTTTAGTCGAACTTCACTATTTTTTTTTTCAAAATTTTCCTAATAATTCCGGAGCACCCCTCAAATTGTAGCCAGTGTACAATTCATACCCCCGAAAAGAATTTAGTTTTTGAAAATCGATTGAGCCAATGCACGGAAACCTACCCAGGTCTTCATTGTGACGCCTCGTTTCCATAACCTCAAGTGTTGTCACCAACGGGCTTTCTTTTTCATACATCGCTTGTATGTGAACTCAAAAATTTCTTGTAAATTACTACTTCATTAGTTTGATAAAATAACATCATAACCTTTACGTTTGTGGAAGCATTCAAACAACGATATCAATAGCCTAACAAAAGACTATTTTAAGAACTATAACTCGTCATGTCGATCCCTTCATGTCTTGCATTGATATTACCTGAGATACATATATGGAATACGTAAGCTTTAAGCTTAGTGAATAGTTATGGTTTCATAAAGAAATCATCTTTCATAAAACATATCATTTTAATGCATGAATAACAACCCATTACACTTCTCGTAATCATGTATAACAACATGCATGCATAAACTACTTATGTAAAAACATCATCTTCTTTTAGTGTGATATCTCATATGTTCTAGTATGATATAGGGATGGCAAAAAAAAAACCAAAACCGATGGTGAAAACCAAAAACCGGAACTTTCGGGTCGGGTTCAGGGACATCTTATCAGGGACGGGGTGGGGATCAGAGACGAATTCGGGGATTTTAACGAGGACAAGGAAGGTGATATGTGTGTGTGTATATATATATATATTAATTTACATACATACATACATACATACATACATACATACATACATACATACATACATACATACATACATACATACATATATATATATATATATAATAGATTAATATCATTAAAATTTAAAAGACTTTTATCCACTTTACCTCAACAACTCAAATAAAGCTCACGAAAAAATCTAATTTATTTGTCTAAAATCATGATTTTAGTTGTATGATGTTTGAATTTATGTTTAGTTTTATATTGTAATCTAATACATTGTTTGTAATTGGTTCGAGTATGTTTGAGACATTTAAACTTACATCTTTAAAAAATTGTAATTTACTTTTAGTTGTGAAAATTAGCATGTTTTGTAATTTTTCCCAGACCGGTTTTGGGTACGGGTTCGGTTATAACCAACGGTGAAAAATATGATTTTACCCTTAACGGGTTCCCCAACGGGGATTGGGGAAACCGAGGGGACCCCGATAAGATCCCTGATGGGGATCGGGCGGTTACGGGGACAGTTTTAGCTATCAGTTTCGGGGACGGGGATACTAATACCCGACCTGAACTCGGCCCGTTGCCTAGACTATGACAAACATTCTCAACATGATCCTAAATCATTGGGTTTTGTGAAGGATCTTCCACATGGGGTTTCGCAAAAGATCTTCCCCCGGAGGTTCGTTTGCAAGACGTCCTCCATTCTTACACCTCTTCGGGTATTTAACATGATCATACTTTCACATGCACAAAACTTCTCATACACCACATGCAAAATACATGTTTTTCTCATAAAATGCATCATAAACATAACCTTACCTCATGCCAAAATATCATATCAAATAATCATCATGCATAAAAATATTTATATAAGATATATGTATTCCAATAAGTCTCATAATGTATTCATGTTATTTACTTAACCAGAATACCTGAATTTATAAAATGAAACATTATAGAAGCACAACATGCAATTGGGCGGTGAATGCCGCCCTCTTTTGTCCATGATCTCTACGATAATTAACAAAACACACACATAGAGAGAGAGTTTTTAGTTCAAATGTTAACCTAAATTATTGTGTTAACTTTATAAATTTTTTAGATCAATCACAATCCATTTTAGTATTATGTTCTTCACTATCTAGGAATTTAATGTTAAGGGTACATGAGTAATTTTCTTTTATTTTTTGTAACTCTTATATCATTAATTGAGAGTTACAAGATTCATAAAATCCCATGATTTTTGTATTTTTAATATTGATCTTATGATTTTTTTTTCATTTTTAATATTTATAAATTTGTGATTGGTAGAGAAGATCCGCTAGTAAAGTGTTTGTTATC